GAGACAGGGTCTTCCTTAGCCCCAGCTGGCCTGGAACTCACTATGTAGACCATGCTCGAACCTACAGAGATCCGCCTGCCTCTGCCTCCCAAGTGCAGGGATTAAAGGCATGCACCACCATGCCTGGCACCTTTTTTAAAAAATTGTATTATTTTATGTGTTTGAGTGTTTGCCAGCAACTGCTTGTGTCTGATGCTTACAGAGGCCAGAAAAGGGCATTAGATATCTGGGAACTGGAATTCCAGAGGGTTGCTAGCCGCCACATGAGTGCTGGGAACTGAACCTGGGTCCTCTCCAACAGCAGCCAGTGCTCTTACCCACTGAGCCACCTCTCAAGCCTCAGCTTTTCTGTTTGTAAGCTAATTATCTCAGCTGTTTTATTATAGCAAAGGAAAGCTAACATCCCTTCATCCCCTTTTATATCCCCCAAGTAAGGAGTAGGCTGACCTGCTTATTGGGCCTCTGCATGGGACACTGCTTTTTCTACTGTGTGTTTATGTTATCTCTCCAGGCTTCCCTGAAATCACATACACCCTCTACCTACATCAGGTTGGAGCATCCTGACTCCACAGCCTGAGGCTAGCCCAGAGGTAGGGCCAGAGTTACTTTGACTCACAGGCTCTGTACCACGCACCCTGAACCACAAGGCCTAGGTTTAGAGTCGAATGTTATTTTGAGAAATCCAAACATTGGACCAGCAAGATGGCTCAGTGGGTAAAAGGGCTTACTGCCAAGCTTGACAGCCTGTGTTCAATCCCCAGTACCTACTTTCACAGTGAAAGGAGAACACCAACTCCCTCAAGTTGTCCTCTGACTTATGCACATGTACCACGATATGTGTGTACCCACACAATTATGAATAAACAAATGCAATTTAAAAATTTTTTAAAGAATTTAAAAATTTTTAATTATTTTATGTGTATGTGTGTATTGTCTGTATGTATGTAAGTGCACCTGTGTTGTGCAGTGCCTGCAGAGAACAGAACAGGGCATGAGATCCCATGGAACTGGAGTTACAGATGGTTGTTAATTGCCATGTGGGTGCTGGGATTCAAACCCAGGTCTTCTGCAAGAACAGCCAGTGCTCTTAACTGCTGAGCCATCTCTCCAGCCTCTTAAAAGAATATTTTAGCTGGGCATGGTGGCACATGCCTTTAATCCCAGCACTTGGGAGGCAGAGGCAGGCAGATCTTTGTGAGTTCAAGGCCAGCCTGTTCTACATAGTGAGTTCCAGGACAGCTGGGGCTACAGGGAGACCCTGTCTCAAAAAAACCAAAAACAAAAAACAAAACAAAAGAATATTTTAAAAATCTAAATGGAGGGCCTGGAGAGATGGCTCAGCAGGTGAAGGCACTTGCTGCCAAGCTTGACATGGAAGGAGAGAACTGACTTCCCCACATTGTCCTCTGATCTCTACATGTGTGTTGTGGCACACTCCTCCTCCCAAATGAATGAATGAATGAATGAATGAATGAATGGATAGATGGATGGATGAATAGATAGACTGACTGATTGATTGATAAATAGTTAAAACAATTTTAAATCCAAACTACCTGTGAACTGACCTTTAGCCAGATGTGGCATTTCTGGCTGTACCTTCGCCTCCCCCTAGGTCCCATTTTACTACACCCTTACTTCCCTTCGCCAATTCCCCCCACACCGTCCCTTCCAGGCTGCAAATGCCTTGGCCCCCACTCACTCCTCTGGTGAGCAGCTCTACTCCTCCAGCCCCTTCTCTTGCTTCCCAGGAATATCCCAGGTACACTGGGTACACCGATGGCCTCTCACCAATGCTTTGAGTTGTAAATATCAACTGAGCAGCAGGGTCACTGTCAAGGCCTTGAACTCGGGCCAGTGTTCTACAGGGACTGTCAGGTCTCAGGCATTGGGACATTACCTCTGGGTAACTCGCAGAGATGGACTAAATGTGTTTTGTATTATGAGGTTGACATGAGCCTTTGGGGGTTCATGAGGAGACTTGTGATGGTTAAGACTTGAGATGACAAGCTGTCAGCTTGACTGGATTGGATTAAGTGACACCTAGGAGATTAGCAAACACGTCTTGTGGGGGATGGAGAGTTTCCAGAAATTATTAGTTAGACCATCAGGGCTCTGACCTAATGAGTGAGTATATATATATACATATATTAAATGAATGGCTTAATCTCTTGGATTTAGATTTTGAAAGAATGTTGGAACATGGAGTCTAATTAGAGGAAGGAGGTCAATGGGAGGCACATCCCTGGCTCTGTCTTGCACTGGCCTTTCCCTCCCATTGTCTGCTTCCTGTCCACCATGAGATGAACAGCTTTCTCCTCATTCTGCTCCCAACATCAAGTAACCATGGGCTAAACCCTCTAAGCCGCCTCTAAGTTGCTTTCTCAGTTACTCAGAAGTAACTAACACTGTCATGCCTCCCCTCTGACTGGGGGTCCCCAAGGACAGAAATAATCTCTCCAGTCAGTCAGACACATACTGGCACCTCCTGGTGGGAGAGGGGACTGCACTTACCTCCCGCCATTGTTTGTTCTCCATTCCTTGAGTATACATGACACATACTGGGGGAGAGAAGAGGGGGAAAAATGGGTTATTAATACCCTAGGCCTAGAAGAAGTCAGGGGGCCTGATGGGGAGGGAGGGAGGGCCTTGACTTAATAGAAGCCTCAGGCTGGTTTGCCCTGCTGGGCTTGGGGAAGGGGTGGGGTGTCTGCTGAGATAGTTAGGTCTTGGTGAGTGAGGCTAAGAGCCTGGTTTCCAGGCTTATACCACAACTGGTTTATTGTAATTCTGAGATCTACCCCAGTGCTCTGCCACTAGAGCTACAGCAATATGAGTGGTCTCTATGCACTAATACCCAGCAGTCAGGGGCAAAGGGAGTCTGTCCTTTAGGAGAAGGGTCAAGGGCTGTTCATTTTAGTTTATTTATTATTTTTATTTTACATGTATGAATGTATTGCCTGCATGTATATAAGTGTACCCAAGTTGTGCAATGCCTGAGAGGTCAAAAAGAAGGTACTGGATCCCCTGGAATTGGAGTTACAGATGGTTGTTAGCTATCATGTGGGTGCTGGGAATCAAACCTAGGTCCTCTGCAAGAGGAGCCAGTGCCCTAAACCACTGAGCTATCTCTCTAGTACTGAGGGCTGTTCCTTTCTATAGGCCATAGAAAAAAACGGTTCTAGGTGAGGCAGGTGGACAGGTAAGCATGATGAAGGATTAAGAGGCAGGTATGGTGAGGACAGTACCTGAAACACGGTGTCCCTTCAGAGCTGGGGAAATCCCACAAGGCCTAGGATCATCACCAGATGCTCTTTTCTGACAGGGAAACTGAGGCTCAGTGGAGGCCAAAGACCTATCCAAGGTCATGCCTGTGGACAGCACTCTACTGGCCTGGAGCCCTGCACCCCCCAAAACAGTGTTGATCCCCCCGACCACAACCAATTGGGGCTTATAAATATGCCAATTCCCATGGAACAGAGGCCTTTTTCTCCCAGATACCCCAAAGCCTCACAAGATGCTCTGGGGTACTGAGGACTCACAAGCATGGGGTAGGGTAGAGCCAGCCCTCCAGTTCTCCTCTGGACACATCAGAGCTGCGCTGGCCATCCCTGAGTTACTAGCACAGCCCTGGTGCTGAGCAAAGGGTGCTGTCCCTAGTCATCAGGAACCGTGATTACTGTGAGAGCAGGACTTACGTGGGTCAGACTTGGAAAACATGTCTTTGTCCAAGAGGTTCCTAAAAAGAGGGGAGAGAGGAGACAGTCATCAGAGCTGGAGCTACTGGGGTCTCAGGTTCTACTGAGCCCCAGAGATGGCCTCTGGCCCAGCCTCATACACAACAGAAAGACACAAAAGCAGTTCCTTCAGCACACTTGACCAACTTCATTAAATACCAGTCACTAAACCAGGCATGTCATTATGCCATCAGGTCATCATGACAGACACATCTGTCATCCCAGCACTCCCGTGGAAGAGACTGAGACTGGAGTCAGGAGTTCAAGGCCAGCCTGGGCTTCATAATGAGTTTGAGGCCAGCCTGGACTGCAGGAGAGCCTGTTTCAATAAAACAGAAACAAATACAAAGAAAGCCAAGTGCTGGGAGGCCCTCAAAGCACTCTAGTTCCTAAAGTGTGCAGAGCTCCCCACCCCCACCATAGCCATAACTGCTCCAGATGGGCACCCTGGTACCCTGGACCCTATTGCCTCCCACTAACCAAATCCCAGTCAGCCTCAGGTGCCAGCCCTCCCTCCCTCCCTTCCAAAAGGTTTTATTTTAATTTGTTTATTTATTTTAATTAATTAATTTATTTTTGGTTTTTTTGAGACAGGGTCTCCCTATAGCCCCAGCTGTCCTGGAACTCACTATGTAAACCAGGCTGGCCTTGAACTCACAGAGATCCACCTGCCTCTGCCTCCCGAGTGCTGGGATTAAAGGCATGCGCCACCATGCTCGGCCCTAAAAGGTTTTATTTTTAATTATGTATTTATGTTGGGTAAGTATGAGTATGTGACTGTAGGTGCCAACAGAGTTCAGAGGTGTCACACCCCCTGGAGCTGGGGTTAAAGATGGCTGAGTTGCCCAAGGTAGGTGCTGGGAACCAAACCCAGATCTTCTGTAAGAATGGCAAGTGCTCTTAGCCCCAGAGCCATCTCTCCAGCCCCATGTCAGACTTTTCTATAAACTCTGCTTCAGGGAGCTGGAGAGATGGCTCAGTGGTTAAAATAATAATAATAATAATAATGGTTGAAAGATTTATAAACTCATGAAAGCATAAAAGAAACTGTCTAGAGGAACAAAGGGAACTAATAAGGGGTGTGAAGAGGGGGGTGAGGGGTGTGGGGGATACACTCAGCATACAATAGATACTCATATGAAAAATTTTAAAAACTAAAAATTGGGGGCTGGAGAGATGGCTCAGTGGTTAAGAACACTGGTTGCTCTTGCAAAAGACCCGGGTTCGATTCCCAGCACTACATGGCAGCTAACAACTGTTGTAATTCCAGAGGATCCGATGCCACCTTCTGACCTCTGTGGGCATTGCACGACACGGGTGCACTTACACACATGCAGGCAATACACTCATACACATAGAATAAAAATAAATAAAATAAAAAGAAACTGTTTTAATCACTTCTGTTTCTCAAAAATATAAACAAACAAACCCACTTGAACACATGCATCCAGCTTCTGCTGTGCCAGGACTCTTATCACAACTGGCTTATTTCTTCATCATATATGTACTTATTGAGGACTTAATGAATGATACTTTTAATTTTTTGAGTCTCCCTGTAGCCAAAACTGACTTGGAACTTGTTTTGTAGGCGAGGCTGGCCTTGAACTCACAGAGATCTGCCTGCCTCTGTCTCCTAAGTGCTGGGATTAAAGATGTGTGCCCCACACCTCGCATGAACGACACTTTCTAGAGAACATAGACTCATTTGAACAGGGTCCTTCTAGGTCAAGACCACGGCTGAGGTCAGGTGTGGTGGCCCACATCTGTACTCCCAGCACTCAAGAAGCTGGGGCAGGAGGATCCCAAGTTCAAGGCCAGCCTGGGCTACAGAGTGAGACCCTGATTCCAAAAACCAACCAACCAACCAATCAAAAACAGACAGACATGGCTGTGCACACTTGCAATAACAGCACTCAGGAGGTAGAGGTGGATCAGGAGTTCAAGGCCAGCTTGGGCTACAGAGTAAGTTTGAGGTCAGCCTGGGCTACATGAGACCCTCTCTCAAAAAGACAAAAAACACAAACACACAAGACACAGGGCTGACACATGATCCTGGGGATCAGGCTGGAAGACATTGGAGCTAGATGAGGGGCAGAGACAAGGCCCTGAGCGGCTCTGAGCCCCTCTTGCCCTGCCTCCTGCAGCAATAGCTCCCACTCTCTGCAGTTATGGGTCAGGCTCAGAGCTCTGTGAGAATTAGCTCTGATTCTTGCAGCACATATGTGTGTTGCCTGCAAGTATTTAAGTGCACCCATGAGTGCAATGTCCATAGAAGCCAGAAGAGGGCATTGGAGCTAGCACTGGAGTTACAGACAGTTGTTAGCCACCATGTGGGTGGGTCCTCTGCAGGAGTGGCCAGTGCTCTTAACCACTGAACCATCTCTCCAGCCCTCAGCTCAATTCTTATCTTGACAGTAACGAAGCCTGTGGGACTCTGGAGACGGCTGCAGCACCTGTTAGCAAATCCTTGGGGCTCACTTGTACTCAGGGAGAAAAGGTAAATTCTTGGGGCTCTTCCCAGAGTCCAGCCTTGTAGGACTGGAGTGAAGCCCAGCTCAGGTTTAACCAGCTGCAGCCCATCAGCTCTCTCCCAGGTTTCTAACAGCACTGTAAAGAAATGCCACAGGTCAAGACCTCACCTCAACCTCCCACTGGAAGCTGAAGACCCTAGGAGCCCCTCATGGTACCGGTCCCCAGTGACACTCACCTGCCCCACTGAGCACTCCTGACTAGGAGACAAGGCATACAGCTAAAACAGCCTGGGACAGAAAAGACCAGGCCTTCAGCCCCAAGCAGGGCTCCAGTCATCAGGGCACCTACCAGACCACACCAGCTCTAAAGTGTTTTTTCTCTGCTTTCTGTTTTTGGAGAGCTCAAAGAAAAAGAAAAAAAATTTTTTTTTTTTCTAACAGGCAAAATGTATTTTTTTCCCCCAAAAGAGCATAAAACCCTTCAGTGTCTGCTCAGCGGCCTGGGGCTTTGTTTCTTTTGTTCCTTAAATCGAGGCTAGAAAGTAGAGCCAGGGCCCTTTGCTTCCTGACACCCCCAAGGATTCATTTCCAACTTGGAGGCGGGGAGAAACATCATCACAGGGCTGTGAGGTCAGGAATCCCTGAGGTGGCAGCAAAGGAGAAAGACCCAGAAAGGGGAAGACGGGCGCCTAAGGGGGACACTTCCCCATGAGGCCTGAAGAAAGTGAGACGGGCTGGGGTGCACCCATCTTGGGGAACACAACCTATCCTCAGGGAACCCCAGCCTGAGGGGGACCCCCTTGCTTGGGGCCAGGGTTGCTGGCTGAGGTAGCCACGCCTCCTGGTTCTCTCTCACTGAGCTGGGAAAGCCATTAAGAGCCTGAGCCTCAGCTTTTTCCTGGCCCAGGGGTGCTCAGAGAGGACCAAGGACTCCTGAAAGTGTAAAAGCACTCTGGTCCACTGTGTTAGATACTTTGTGTTGTTGTTTTTGAGAATTTTCATCCAACTCCCAAAGATATCCATGAGCTTCGAAGGTTAAGAAATGGTTAGGCCCGGGGCTGTCATTCCAGTTACCCCAGAGTCCCAGGCAAGAGGATTAAAGTTCAAGGCTTGCCTGAGCTGAACAGTGCATTCAAGGGCAGCCTGGCAATTTAGTGATACCTCGTCTCAAAATAATACAAATCAAAGGGTTGTAGCTCAGCGGTAGACCACTTGCTTAGCATGTATGAGGCCCCAAGTTCAGCCTCCATCCAGCATAGGAAGGAGGGAAGGGGGTTGAGGGAGAGGGAAGGGAATGGAGGGAGGAAAGGGAGGGAAGGTTTGTTTGTCCTAGGTACGGTGGTGCACAACAGTAATCCTAGCACTTGGGAGGCTGAGGCAGGAGGATATAGGGGGTGGGGTGCTGGAGACAGGTGAGCTAGCTCCATGTAGACAGCTCCGTTCCCCCCGGCCCCCAGGGCCACACCATTTCTCTGAGGATCAACTTCATGCCAAATACCAGGCTGTCAGGGCAGAGAAGGGCGGTGGCTGTTGCAGTTAATCTACCAGGTCCTTTGCCAGACACAGCCTGGGACATTCTACAGACCCTGCAGCCCGATACAGGATGCTGAGGTCCCTGTTCACATCCCTTGGTGGGCCAGATCTGATCTCTGAAGCTCAAGTCACTGGAGGTTCCCAGGAGCTGTGTCACAAAAGCCGAGGTCTCCCAAACCTATGTGGGCCTTCTGTGCCCCTCCCATCCCACCGCCCCATTCCAGTCCCAGTGCCATTGGAGAGGGACTAGAGGGTATCTATCCCTTCCACCCCTTAGGGGACAGTCATCAAAGAGAGGAGGGAAGGGAGGACCTAATACCTGCTGGCACCACCTTCACATCCCCCTCGTTCCTGCCCCCCTGTGCATCTCTCCTCTCAGACCAGCAACTGCAGCAATTCTCAAAGGGCACCCAGAGCTCCTGGACTGGCTGCGTTTTGATGGCTGTGAAATATTGTTCAAAGTTGCAGGGTCAGGGGAGGAAGCTGCGGCCTCAGAAGCATCTAAGCTGGGATCCCACGGAGCCATGTAGCCTGTCTATCACCCTGTCTATATGCCCTGCTCCTCAGCTTTTTGCTGGTATTATCAGGGGCTTGCTTGCCTGAGCAGGTGCAAGCCATTCCCTTCAACTACAAACAGTGAAAGTTGCTCTGCTCCTCCCTTCCCCTTGTGTGTTCTCCGGTCTACAGGGCCAACCCTAAACCTACTTCTAACCACCCCCCGGCCTGTCCACTCTTGCCATGACACCCCCACCATCTCCCACTTGGAGGCCCAGCGGCCTGCTTAGTAACACATCCACTTCCTGCCTCTCCCCTCTCTTCATCTGCTGCTGTCTGCACAGCAACCAGAGGTGGGTGTAAAGGTTAATCAGGACTTATTGCTTAACATGATCTACCCTCAATGCTGTGAGAATAGATCAGGTGTGAGGCCCTTCTCTGCTCTCTGGTCTCATCCTCCGGTTCCCCTCTGTTCACACTGTTTGAGCAACACTGGGCTCCCT